GTGTGCTTGAAATTTTTCATACAATTAAAGTACACCTTTTTCATTATACTGTAATGAGCTTTTATCTAATTTTGAATTTTTTCATAATTTATAAAATATTTTATCAAACATAGTGGAATTTTGTTGACCCCTTTTTCACATAAATAAATTTGTAAAGAATGGATTTTTTTTGAGTTTTTTGCAAAAGGCCCATTTCAGTATATAATAGACATCATTATAAACATGTCATAACAAACTTACATACCTGTGAACATCATTTTCCCAGAAAAGGTGTATCGAACATCAAAAATTTACATTTTGAGATAAATGAACTTTAACGTATAATTACTTTTTTATTAAAACATTCCTCCCTGTACTCCAAATGATCAACATTTTTTTAAAAAACTTCTCTCATCATCCTCCCTCTTTCTTTTAAGTCTTTTTCGTTTCTAATTTCCTTTGTTTTTTGTAAACATGAGTATTTAGCCTTTGTTTGTCGGGGCGCTCCATTGCCTGTTCCTTGTAATCACCAGGCTCAATATTAAATGTTCATATGTACCAAATGATAATACTTCTATTTGAACAAATATTTTCTTCGGTACACGAAACCATAATACGTTGTTTACACTTTTATTTGGAATTTGTGTACTTCCATGCAAATACTTTTTTAGCAATTCTGGATCAATTTTTTTGATTTCCATCATTCATTCAACTTTTAAGCAAAAACAAAATATTCTGCTTACATTTTTAGCCATTTAAGGGGGTGCGGCCTAGTTTCAGTGATTATTTAAAAAAAAGATTTTAAGGGCTTCTAATTACTTTAGAGGTTAAAGTAAGGTATTTTTAGAAAGGTTAATATCTATACAATTTGAAAATGTAAAAATCTCAAAATTGTCAGATTAAGAAGATTTTTGGTTTCCAACACTCCCCTTAACTGAAATAATAAAAAGCAACTTAGTGATTGAAATTTGTTGCGACTGTAGAGGAATTTTTTTTTATTACATATGGACTAGCGATACTGAACTTGCGGCGCACCGGGACTTTTTAAGTGGCTCGGTCGTGGTCCATTGCTCTGAGAAATTAATTTATTTATGAAATTCTTTGTTAAGAAATCAAATATATTAATTTAGCTTTTTTTCTGTCGATGACGTATGGGTGCGAATTGATATTTTTTTCCTGGTTAGTGATAATAGACAACAGTGGAGTAGCGACCATTTTATGAATGGAACTAATTTTTAACTATCTTTCATATCTTGCAAATGAAAAATATCCGAAGAAAATATGTTGTTTCAAGACGACTGGCTAGTTGGCTATTTTGTAGTGAAAAACAAGCATCGCTCAGTAATTTTTTGATTTGCCATGTGTGAAAGTGTTATATTTAATAAAACCCCAACAAACAGGAATTGTTTAATGACACTTTTCTTTGAAGATCTCTTTCAAGAGGTTAAATAGGCTTTCTTAAATAATCTTTACAACAGCAAAAAAAAGTGTTTTGACAGTGGTAATGTCACAGCGGGGTAACAAAGGCAGCCTATGAAATTTGTTATATTATTGGTAATTGTATGAAACCGTTTACTGATGCAGAAACTGTGAAGGAGTGATTCTTAAATGCTTCCAATTTTAAAAAATTCAGTGACAGAAACAAACAAAAAAATTTTAAAAAAAAAGCAAAATAGCAGTTTTAATATTTTAATCAATTTTCCACGTTTTAAATTTTCTGTTACCTTGGTCTTAAAGCATTTCTCCCCCCTCTCCATTAATCCTCACGTTGCGGCCCACTTGAAATAGCTGACATATGTCCCGGGAGAAAAAAAGGTTGAGTATCCCAGATGTGGACCAACAAAGGCTGTTAAGCCCCCTTTGTAGTGCACTCAATTTTTAAGGACCGTTGAAATTGTGAACTGTTGTAGAAAGAATCAATGAACCTCTCTACATACTGGGAAATTTGTAGGGTTGCCTGTCAAATAATAATATTCGGAAGCTATAACAAAAGTATATCCTCCCCCTCTTTTCTATAGAACTGGATTGTTGAGGAGGATGAGAACGACGAAACCGATGATGTGGAAAATTGAGACCCTGTAGGGCTGCCTGATCAAATTATTCTCACTCCCATGCTAGCAATGTATGGTGCAACAAAAAAATATTTTCCCCTTTTCGCGGAAAACTGAATTGTTGTGGAAAGGACGAATGAGAGAGTTACCTTCATGTGTAGGTAAATGGATACTTTAGTGTTGCCAGATCAAAAAGCTATCTACAATTCAAAATAAAAATCAAAACAAATAAGTTCTGATTTTAGTGCTTTTTTTATGGTTTTAATGACTTTGTGGTTATAATAACAATTTTTTTTCATTTTTTCTAACAAATAATTTCACAATTACAAGATCCTGGCGAATTAGTATTTTGTGTTTTGTTTCTTTAATTTTAATTAACATCTTTTTCCAAATTGGAACGAGATTTAGTTTTAGGTTTCGATTATAAGCGATATTTTTTAAATTCCTTCTAATAATGAATCTAGAATTTTTTTTTGAGTGATGTAACCAAAATATGCATATCTAAGAGAATTTATTATTCGGTGAAACAGCCTATAATATATGCATTGTTCGAATTTTTTGAAATTTTAATTTCAGAAATTATTGTAGCAATTATTTTTCCTCGAAGCCTATTCAAGGATTGCAGATGTAACCTAAAATTAAAATTACATTTTGCAAAAAACATTTTCGAAAATTTCCGTTGCTTTAAAAATTAATGATGGAAACTGTGAATCATTTTTCGAATGATTAAAAGTTGAATCTTGATAATTTGTATGGTTTATAATAAAATTCGTGTTGTAGCTTCACGTCATAGTACATTATTGAGTTCAAAACGAAGTTATTGTACGGAGGGGGTTGCGATGAAAATTATGATGAAAAACTGGGTCGCAAATGTTGAAAGTTTGAGAAGCACTGATCTAACAGTAACAATACGAAAATTTATCTTTCAGTCTGATAGAAAATTTAAATTAGTGGGTCATTTGCATTTGTTTCTTGCTTGAAAGTAATTGAATATTTAGATAAAGTTTCGTACCGCGTGACCTGAATTGTTCCTCTAAATGAGCATCTGTAATATGCGTTCCTAAGCTAATTTTAAGTTTTGTTATGAGAAATAAATGTTGACTTGCAGTCTTAATTACTTCCAAAGCAGGGAATTAATCGATAAGCATGCTTTCGTGTACATGGATATTCAGCAGAATTTTTCCTATTTTTTGAGATTTTCTTAGCATCAAAAAATGATTGAAGATGACTTGAAGAATAATGAATTTGAAAAATGTTGAATGATTGTAGGGACAACTTTTCCTTTAACCTTAATCACTCCACTCGCAGTTCCATAGGAGTTTTGAATATATCCTTTAAATGTGGTTCAAATATCAGTTTCAAAATAGAAACAATACGAACGTGTTTCGTAAATTTGAAAATTTTTTGTAGCATGTTATTCTGTTAAATGATCCATGACATTGGCACACATATTCATCCAATGCTTTATTTTTGTAGTGCTGCTTTATAAATTTTACCATCACGAGGAAGTGCCATACAGATATATCAGAGTGAAAAAGCAATACATTTTGAGAAACGTAATTTTTATCGAAACGTTTGAATCTTTGACAGCATTTCACATTTATGCTTCCTTTTTTCCTCGTAGGCGGATATTTAAATTGCTTTATTTTTCCATGATAATAGACAAAAATGTAATGTTTCTGCAAAATGCTTCATCTAATAAATCACAAGGTCTTCCTTGTTCTCGATAAGTTTTTAATTTTAGACAAAAAATTAAAAACTTCTCAAGAACAAGGAAAACCTTATTATTTATCAGATGACTGGTAATCCACTCGATAGTTTTTGATCAAAATTTTAACTCTTATTTATCAAATACTATCCTGTGGATTGCCAGTGAAATTTGCTGTAGTACGGTAGATCACATCTCGTTTCCTCGTCTAAAGTTAGCATCAGATGTAGTCCTCGTCACTTGACTGAGGTTCAAAATTACCAGGTCCGTCGCCAATAAACCGCTTGTTGTTTAATAGTGTGACGCTAATAAACTCTTACTCACCAAAGCTTGCATTTACTGAAATTAACGATCAGACATTTCAATTAGACGAATATGTCAAACAATCCCAATGCCTTCACCCAGAGCGCCTTGCAAAATCGTCTGTGTATCTTGAACACAGATTTAGTTAACTGTAATCAATAACAATTTTTATTAAAGTTTTTGAAGATGTCTACACCGAGTTTCTTTCATTTACTATACCCGGCGCAATTGGTTCTTCCTGTCACTGAAAATCTTTAGTTACAGTAAGAATAAAATATAAAATTTGCTCCCCCGAATCAGTTTTATCATTGCTTTCATCGCAAATGATTTTTAAAAAAAGCGTCTACGTTTTGTATAATATTACAAAGTTGTTGTTTTATATTCTGAGCTAATTCTTGATGATAATCTATTATAGTCCTTGAAAGAACCAACTATTTGTATTTATTAACTTTTTTTTGAGCAAACATTGCCATTACTCCAATAATACATTCCTTTATGAATTCTAAATTTCTAATTTTTTTTTACTTATGTTTCAAATTGGGTTTATTTATATTCATATTTTTAAAACAGTTAAAATCGTATTGTACAACAAACACACCATTTTATCTTCTACAGAGAAGTCAAGATAGAGTAATTCCCAAAGTTTGCATTAAGTGTTCTGATTTTACAATTCCTACTATTAGTTCACTCTCTCCCTAAATATATATATATATATATATATATATATATATATATATATATATATATATTGTTCAAGTTTTCAATCGTTAGTAAAATATATACTTTCTATTCATCCATTCAAGTTCAAATACATTTTCTTAAACTTGTAGTGGATGACACTTGATGTTAATACAGTTTTTTCAAATATTAATCCATTAATTAATTAACAAAATGATTAAATAGTAACAAACAAAAATAATGGTCCGGCAGCATATATAGAAAAGAAAAACTTTCGTTGTGTCCCTGTAGCGCAATGGATAGCTTTTTGGACTTCTAATTTAAAGGTCATGGGTTCGAATTCCACCTGGGATGGCCTAATTTTTGAGAATGTGATTTCATTTTTACTATACTATTTTATTAGAATAATTTAATTTATTTGAAGAATAAATAGTAACAAAAAAATAAATAGTTCAACAGCATATGTAGAAAAAATGGAAAATTGCAAGCAAAATGGCTTTCTATTTAAGCACTTAATATTGTCATTCTGTTATATGTCTATAAATATTTATATTAATTGTAGCTATTTAATAAGGAGAAACTAAGTTAAAATTTTTCTTTGTTCACCTAAATAGAATTTGACTTAATTTTTCTTTTTTGTGTATATTATTTGTTTCCATTTAAGGTATCCGACTACGATCGGAACCGTGATTTTAAAAAAGCTCACAAATGGATAATTTTCATGATATTTAGTGTCACTCAGATTAGAATACATGCATAAAATTGTCTTAAGCACATTCTGACAAATTTTATTTTTTTAAATATAATATTTTGTTAAAAAATGAACATAAAATGACCCATTTTCATAATATTCTCATTTTGTGAATAATGCTTCTATTATAATAATATTTTGCTTGTATATAGCTCAGACCTCTGTACAGTGGCTCAACTATGATTTTTGAAAAATTCACATTATTTTCAGAGTTACCACCAATTGAAATAATTATTCGCGTTTTTTTTTCTGAAAATTGCTCCTTTCTGTTATCATAAAATATGAATAAACCCACTTCTAAGTTATATATTTCAAAAATTCTAGTTGAGCCTCTGAACAGAGGTCTGAGCTATATACAGGCAAAATATTATTTAAATAGAAGCATTTTTCACAAAAGGAGAACTTTTGGAAAAAAGATTATTCTAAGTTAATTTTTTGCCAAAATATTGTACTTAAATAAATCTTTTTTGTCAAAATGTCCTTAAAACAATTTTATGCATATATTCTAATCTAAGGGAAACTAAATATCATGAAAATTATCCGTTTATACGCTTTTGAAAATCACGGTTCCAAACGTATTCGAAAAAAACCTTAATTTTCTTTTACTACAATTTGACATGAGAAGGGAGTAAAAACATAATAAATAATATCTTCAAATGCCATACATTTGCTAGAAATACAATAACACCTTGCTTTCGTAAAACCATAGAATAAAATTTATAATTGTATTATTATTAGTATGGTGCAAGTTTGAAGAACAAGTCAATAATGATCTTTTTACGAGCATTAATATTAAGAAAATTATTTTGTGTAGAGATCAAAGGTAATATATGTCCGTTAGCGTTGTCATTTTGCACTATTTAATATGCCATCATTTGAATTATACACTTGGGTGTAACCATTACAGTAACTACTGAAAATTACATTTATACTGTTCTTTATGCAATTCTACAAATTTTAAATTATCTTCCACATATATAAGTGAATATTAATTAATATACGATTTATAGTTTTTATGAAGGCCTCTGAAGTCAATCACGGAGACCGCACGTTTCCCGTCTATGGTACATATGAATTATGGTATATGTGGTTCATATGACTTTATGAATAGTCGAGCTATATTCATTGAGTTTTGCGACATAATTTTTTCTACTATGAAATTCAATTAAATAATTGTAAACATTTTAAATCCTGTAAAATGACGGAGCAATGAAATATATCTTTTAAAATCTCAGAATATTTCCAGAATTTGCAGGGAAAAAAAATTTTTTTGATAAAATTTAGATAGTTTGATATTTTTGTATCCCATTCAACTCAAGATTTTTGTATTGACAGAAAAATGCCTTTATAAACTACGTCTATGTTGATCACAAATTTAAGAAAAATTGTTGAATAATTAAACAATGTGTAAAGTATTTTACTGAAAATGTTGTGAAAGAGCGCATTTCTATCAATGAAGTAGGAAACAAATTTCAGAACAAACGCTGTAAATGAATTTTCGAAGCACATTCAAAAATTTCTTTTTTTTTTATTAATCTCAATTCAAATTTGAGCTGGAATTAACAATTTCCTCTTTTTTTCTTAGTTTTTGAAGAAAAGATTGGAGACAAAATAGAAAACTATTCTATTGTATTTAAGGATAGCAATATCGGACCAAAAGTTCAATACCGGTATTTTTTAGATCTTAATACCGGGATACCGGTTTTATTACTAGAAGAAATATTAGAAAAAGAAAGAAAACATAGAGGTGTTTCTTTGTTTTATTTGCCATTTTTATTAGAGAGTGTAATTATCACAAAAAAATAATTTATAACGTATATAAATTATAAAAAAAAATATAAAGAATCATAAAAAAAATAAAGGAAAATCTTATTTATTTATATAAATCACAAAAATGTGCAAATATCACTATTCACTCTGTGGTACTATTACAAATTTTTGAAATGTGATCTTAAAAAACATAATGCATCAATTGTACTGTATGATAAGCAAATAAATATTTCCTCTGTTTAACTCAAAAACATCTGCTGCAACCGGATTAACTAAGCATCACTCCTCCCCCGCGCCCATCACGGGAAAAAAATAAATCTTTTCTAAATGAAGATCTTTTCTTCATCAATTTTTAGCTTTATCTTATTTATATTTGTAAATTTATTTATATCAAAGTAATATCTTTTTTTACTATTTTTCTTTAGTTAAACTTATGTTTTAATTATTATTTATCAAAAAGGGCAATTTGAAAATTTCTAATGTCATCCTGATGTCCTGAATGGAAATGACGGCTCCGATGAACTAAGTGTTCTCCCATCCCACCAAACTACAAACTACGCTTCAGATATTTTCCCTCTCTTGATATAAAATCAAGAACCCATTATTTGATTTAATTTAGATTCATTCAACTCGATTCTTTTCTCCATAAGATCACAAACCTGTTGATTCGTTTTTTGGTTGTTTCACTTTAGTTTTGTTCTTAAAGATATTAATATTTAAAGTACTTATAATTGAATAGATATTAATTTTTCAAAGCTTGTATTTATAATGCATTCGAGAAGTATATTAACTTTTATTTCATTTGAAACGCTCTGATCAATTACCGGAAATGTGATGTTTACCATCACTTCAATAAATAATATTTATTTTTCTAACTATTTCATTTTATAAACTGAATTTTCAAATAAGTGAAAACTGCTTCATTATTAAAAGTGTATTACATTATTTGTACAAAAAAATAATAAAATAAGAGTATGCGACATATCAGGATGGTCAATATTCAGCTAGTAGGTTCAGTGAAATTTAATTCTGACAGTTTTTCTGCACCGTAAATAAATTGAGATTCGTTTAAACAACTGTGCATATTAAAATCTAAGTTAAATTTAATTTCTCTAGTTTACAAATAAGGATAAAAAATAAAGCTTAGTAATTTTTTTTAATTCACGAACACATAAAGACTTTGTATAATTGTGTAATAATGTAGGTTAATATGAATATGTTTTCCTTTTGTGTGTTATTTCAGAATGTGTAAGAAAAATTTGTGTGGAACTCTTTCCATGAATTCAACCATAATTAAAAGTTTCTCCTAATTATGTTTCTAATCCATGCACTTTCAACTACTTTGTCGATACTAATAAAAACGAAATATTCATTATCTATCTATTTATGGTATTCTAATTTGGACAGTTATATAAAAAGGTTCTAAAATTTTTATTTTAACAGGAGATGAAAACACTTTAAATCTTATAAAAGTGCTTTCCCTATCATACAAATTTATTTTCATAATATGCAACAAAATTAACCGAATTTTATTTCATGACGCGTACAAAGATTACAGGATATTTTGAGATGCGAAATCACTTACTAGAATTAGTTTGTTTCAGAATATTTTTGGTATCAACCATGGTAAAAAAAGTGCAGAAAATAGCAAAGCATTTAAATTAAATTTTCCTATTTTGATCCACAATCCTAAGAGTTGTCCCAGAAAATTTAAATGACAGTTTAGGAGCCAGAAGAAAAACACTAACAGTTCTACTTTGTAATTTCTCGAAAGCTCTGAGGAGAAAACTGATTACTCGACGGTTCATCCTCGTGGATAGTACAGAATCTGCCATTTTTGATAAATTTCGCCGTGTATGAGGTTACGATCCTCAGAGATAAAGAATGCGGCTGAACACGGTTGTTTCTACCGACCAGCTTTGTTGGATTTTGCGTTTGAAATCTTCCTTACTTTCTCCCTTCTTCCGCTATCGAACAAAATGTAAGGTTAGGGTAACATCGAGTGAAAGTAAAGTTAAATTTTAAATGACTGAACTGAATATGAATAAAAAGATTTATATATGGAAAAAATATTAAAATTAAAAAGAAACTACACTTATTTAACATATTTACAAAGTTTAATAATTCAAAATCATGTTATGATAAAATTAAACTAATTTTTTGGCAATCATTTCAAAATTTACTTTATTCCCCCCTCCCCAATGAAATATTGTTCTATTAGTTATTCTTATTTTCAAAAAAGATCTGCCAGATTTTTTTTGAAGAGACTAAAAATAACTTTAAGTTATATTTCGGAGAAAAATAGGTAATGCGCTTTTTATTTAGGAATTTCTAAAAAATTGCATTGATCTTGAAATAACATGGTACTAACCTTAAATTAATGTCTAATTTGTATATTCATACTAGCTGCATTCCATTTTTAAATTGTGAAAAATAATGTTTACACAAAAAAAATTTATTTTTTGTTTATTACACTTAATATTGCATTATTTTGATTTAGAAGTATTAAAAGGCAAAAAACTTATTGTTTATTGATGTTTGTCGAATTTCTTTACTTTCTGGCTACTTCTTTGCATTTTTAATATCGCGTAGCGCATATTCTTCTTCAAAAATGGGAAAACTCGTAAGCCAATATTAAAATGAAAAACCTGTAAAAATAAATAAAGGGGTAAAATAATGTTTTGCTAGACTTCTCATACGAAAGCACATTAATTTATTTTAACTTTATTTTGATGTAACGCATATTCAAAATCAAGAGAATTCTTTTTTAATTCCTACTATTAGTTCACTCTCTTTCTATATATATATACATATATATATATGTCATGATTTT